TCCTGGACGAGAGCAAGGAGGTGGCCCGCGGCCTCGAGGCGCCCGCGGTGGCCACGTACGACCTCACCCACAACTGGAACCACCAGATGCTGTTTGACGGCACCTTCCCCAACGATCTTGGCGGCACCGTCACCATGGCCATTGAGTGCAACACCTGCTACACCAAGGGCAACATTTCTGCCTCGCTGACCGACCCCGCGGTCATCGACCCGACGCTGCGCCTCGACTTCTCGGGCGTCCAGGCCTACGTGGACCTGTCCGTGGTCGTCAGCGAGGCTGCCGTGTACACCATCAACCTCTTCACGTCCAACACGCCGCTCGGCATCTCGGGGCCGGGCTACAGCGCCGGCGTCGTCTTTGCCGTGGACCTCGTCTTTAGCATTTCCGACAAGATTGACATTGACGCCGGCGGCTTCTCCGTCACGGTCGCCGACGGCGCGTACATTGAGGCCAGCCTGCTGGAGGGCACCGTCACCAAGTCCTTCTTCGACGGCCTCAGCGCGCAGTCCCTGCCCGTGTCCCTCAAGAGCGGCACGGCCACCTTCAAGGCCGATCTGCGCGTGCGCACGCAGGTCGGCGTCGAGGGCAACGCCCCGCTCGTCGGCATCGGCGCCGGCCTCGAGCTCGGCGTCTACGCCAACATCATCGAGTTTGTCAGCATCCTCGAGAAGACGGCGACCTGCGGCCTGCAGGCGCGCGAGTACTGGGACTGCAACGTCGGCGCGTACGCCCGGGCCGACGTGGTTGTCGACTACACCACCTTTGGCGCCGTGCCGACCATCTCGACGACGCTGCTGTCGGCGCCCACGGCGACCCAGTGCTGGGGCTCCAGTGCGGGCGCTGTGACGAGCGCTGCTGGTGGCGCCGGCGGTGCCAAGTACGGCGGCAGCTCAGCGGCCACCTTTGTGACGACCGGTTATAAGCCCAAAGAGACGTGCTCGTACGGTTATGGCAAGGGTTCCGGCTCGGACTCGGGATCGTATTCGGGTGGCCATGGCTCTTCCGGCTCGGGCAAGGGCTCCGGCTCCTACTCGGGCGGTTCCGGGTCTGGCTCTGGCTATGGATCTGGCCACGGCTCTGGCTACGGCTCTGGCTACGGCTCTGGCTACGGCTCCGGCTACGGCTCTGGCCACGGCAAGGGTTCCGGCTACGACAACAACAAGTCCAGCGCCCAGCAGTCCGTATCCATCCCGTCTCGTCCTCCCTTGTCTGCGAACTCGTCCGTCCCGGTCTCGTCGCCTGCCCTCTCGTCTCCTACGTCTTCCCGCTCTGTTAGTATTACGTCGTCTGCTGTCGTTTCGTCCGCGCCGTCGAGCGCCGTCAGCCCGCCCCCGACGTCGTCGGCGGCCCTGTCCTCGTCTGCCCTGGCATCGGCCTCGACCACGGCAGCCAGCAGTGCTGGCGTCGGCGAGGTCACGTCGACCGTCTTCTCGACCACCACGTACACCATCACCAGCTGTGCTGCGTCTGTTGTCAACTGCCCGGCGTCGTACCAGGCCGCGTACGTCGTCACCAAGACCTACACCTACAATGGCGGCGCCACCGACACGGCCGTCGTGACCACCACCAACGGCGCCCACCTGGCCTTGATGCCGACGAGCACCAATATCGTTGTGCTGGTGCCGTGCACGTCGCCCATTGTCGAGACCTTTACGCCGCCGACGGCGGTGCCGACCGCGGCCAAGGGCAACGGTGGCAGCAGCAGCGGCAACAGTGGCAGCAGTGGCAGTGGAAGTGGCAAGGGCAGCGACAGTGGCAGCGGCAGCGGCAAGGGCAGCTCGGCCGGCAACAGCACGCTCACCGGCACCTTCTCGCCGACGGCCTCCAAGACGGGCAGCGCCACGGGCGTTGTTGTCACGGCCGGCGCCGTCTCTGCCAGCATCTTCAGCAGCAGCCTGGCCGTCTCCGCCGGTGTCATTGCCGTCGCCCTGCTCCTGTAAGGCAGTCTGTGCTTGGCACATGTTTTTCTTTCGCTACTCTCTCGCTTGCTCGTTCTTTTTTTGTCACTCGTTATATATGTCACTCTTTTGGAAAAGGATCGGAACGCCACGGAAACTCATTGATACCACACGACTTTCTTACCACCCTACATTCGTGCTGTCTGTCCTCTCACCGTATCATGCGCATTGATTTGTACGCATGGCACTTCCTCTCCTTTCTTTGTCGTATTTTTATTTTCAGGTTTATTTTTACTTCTCTCTATGTATTTACATTCTCTCCTTTCTTTAATACCTGTTTAATATAATCTTGTTAACAAAAAACACGATCGAGTTCTTCAACATACTACCAGCCCCGGTCCACAAAAAGATCAGACGGTTCCTCAAGCCCTTGCGAAATGGTCAAATATGAAGTCATGCACGTTATTCGTTGTATCACAGTGCAGTATGCCATAGTAGTGCTTCGTTCCTGCCTGTCTTGTACGTCAACATACCTTCCCGTCGGGCATATGCGTATTATGTCGTAGAAGCATGCTGAGAGGCACCTTCCCATTCTGTTTCTCGTTCCGTTCGTCGTCTGCGCCTGGCGGCAGTGGGGTCAAACAGTGGGGGCCCTATCTGGACGCTAAAAGGTTTCAGCTGGAAGCTGCGAGGCTGTCTTGTCGCGGTGTTAGTGACGTGTGGGATGACCCACTTTTCTCATCGCGATTGAACGCCCATTCGCATAGTGACGTAATTGACCATCCACCAGAGCAACGTCATTCTCCGCTCGAGCTCGGCGATGTCCATGTTGGCGATGCACGACGTCAATAAACACGAATACAATTCATGAAGAGGATTGACGGGATGCCACAACTACGGGGCAGCTGTCGATGGAGCTGTCAAGGGAAGAATGTGGCGCTTTTGTAGAAGCCATTCTATCCAATGGCAAGACCAGATCAGAGAGCTGTCCTTAGTAAAGACAGGAACAAACGTAAAAAGCTTAACATTCCAGCAACGACAAGGTGAACAAAAGATCACAAATGGCTAAACGGCCACACACTTCGGCCAAAGAATAAGACGGAATATTGGGGAAGGCGCGAAGAGCGAAACGACTCAGTAAAAGGACAAAGAGTGGCAAGAAGCGACGAGATGCAGCCAAAAAGGGGCAGGAGGCAGGCCCCGGCCGAATTACCCCACAATTTCTTAAGTTTGTTCGATCGATGGAAAGACCAAGGAGCCGCCAGCGCGCCTGCCTTTCTTTGTGCACGCCGTCACGCCGTAGGAAAGAGCACGCCGCCTGCCTCGACTTCCCTGTTTCCTGATCAGCCCTTGTCTCCGTCGTGTCACACCCACCAAATGAGGGAGGAGCAATCGACGTCAGAGGGGGCGCTTCTCTAGTCGACGCTGCTTCCAAACTAAGATAAATTGGCCATTATAAGCAAGCTATGCCCTTCAAATTTATTTCCAGTTCATGACACTCTTGATCTTTTAGCCAGCCCACATTCATATCGCATACACCCCCCTCAACACACTCAAACTCTTTTCAAGACCTCCCCAGTCATCAAATCACCATGGAGACCATCAACAACATGGCTGCTGCCGCGGCAAAGACCGTCTGGCCCAACAGCGACAACAACGACGGCACCGCCACCACTGAGAACATCAACAATGCGAACAACGTGGGCAGCGACGGCAGCACGACGGCCTACGACAGCGGCAACAATGTCAACGGCCAAAGCAACATCGCCGCAAACGCTGCCTCTTCATCGGCACCGCACAACACCTCCGACACCAGCTTCAACAACACCACCAGCAATGTGAACAACGGCCGTGCCAACACTGGTTCCGCTGTCGCGGCCGGCAGCCACCCGGACTACAACGAGGAGCCCGTTTCGGGTGTTCTGGGCGACACTTCCAAGGGCGAGCCGTACGACGCCGGCAACAGGGACGAGCAGGACTATGCCAACGCGCAGTACTCTGAGTCGCACTCGTCGGCGGTCGGTTCTGGTGCCGCCGGCGCCCCGGAAACGACTAGCACCACGGGTGCTACGGGATCTACAGGTGCTACAGGTGCTGCCGGTGCAGCAGGTGTGGCCGGTGCAGCGGGCGTAGCGGGCGCTGCTGGCGCTGCCGGCGTCGCAGGGACCCGGTCGGCTGACAACACTGCTGCCTCCTCCGCCTCCGTCAACGACAACACCGCCAACACTGCCACCAACGCCGGATCGAACAACCCGGCCGCCACCTCGACGTCCGCGGGCGACGCAGGCATGAAGGACTCCAAGGTCCCCAGCACCGGCGGCGGCGGAGCCTCCGAGCCCGATGTGGACGGCCCTGGACCCCGCCCCCTCCAGGAGGTCGCGCGCGACAACCACGGCGATGCGGGACGTGCCCAACCCGGCATTGGCTCCGGCTCCGGCTCTGGCGGTGCCGGTGCCGCCGCCGGCGCTGACGACGAGGACGACGACAAGCCCCAGTCCACCTCCCACGGCGAGGGCACCGGCGAAAAGTACGTCCGCAGCACCGGTCTGCAGGCCGACGGCGGCGATTTTGACGCCGCGCGCGAGGGTGCCGGTCGCGAGGCCGACCGCATCTTGGAGGAGAAGGGCATTGTCGTCAACGCGGGCCACCAGCAGCCGGGCGCCGCGGATACGGCCGAGGCGGAAGGCGCGGGCAACAACAACCGCGGCAGCGGCAACAGCAACGTCAGTGCCGACAGCGGCGACAGCGCGGGCCAGAAGAAGAAGGTCAGCCTGGGCGAGAAGATCAAGAACAAGATCCGCCGGTCGAGCTAAATATGAGAATGGGGACCACGGAAGTCGATGGGGAAGGGCGTTGCTTCACGGTTCAATTTGAATGTTGCATTTTCCTTTTCTTTTGGACGTTGGCAAGAATGTGGAATTTGATTTTGTAGCTTTTGGTTTTGGTATTTTGTTTCTATACTCTCAGTGGAACTCGAGCTTTATCATCCTTTCTTTACATCATGCCGTCGACTGTGAACCAACTAACGTCCACTAGCCATTATATCATAATGCTCCACTTCAATATGGCGAGGGAGTGCCGCGAGTCGTTCCCGGCCGGTGCCTACGCTCCCAGATCCAACGGCTGCGACAGAGTGTTCATAATCGACTCCCAAATGCCAGAGTCAAACTCAAAGTCGACAAAACTGTTGGCTCCGGCACCAGAGATTATCGACCCGTCCAGCATTGTGCCTTGCAAGCCACCGCCCGTCCAGTCGGGGTGCGAGACAGGTGTTGTCGGCGCTTGTCCAGGGACGGGTGGTGGTTGCATCATACCAGAGCTGGTCGGTGTCGTTGTCCAGGCCGGCGGCATTGTGGTCGGCGCAGCCGTATTGGCGTCGGGCATATCAACGCTCTGGTGGTGAATGTGGTGTGGGTGGTGTGCGCTGTCTTGTTGCTGGTGCTGGTGCTGGTGCTGCCGAAAATGTTGATGCTGGTTGGCCTGCCGCTGGGCGTGGCTGTCACGGTACTCGCCGAGCACCCGGAACAGAATATTGGACATGACCCGCGCCGGGTAGTAGACGGTCGCATGCGCATACAGCGACTCGGCCAGTCGTTGCAGGTGTACCAGCGCCTCCGCCTGCTTGTCGGCGCTCTGTGTTGACAGGCCCTCGACAATCGCAAACGCGGTCGTTGCTGCGTGCTGCATGCCCGTCACAAACATGCTGCGGCACTCGAACCGCGCGCAAAACGCCTCGTAGATGCGTGCGACCTCGATGGCGTGCGTAAAGCACATCCTGCGCGCCATTTCCGTGACAATGTCCGTGCCCATCTCTGGCTCCATGCCGTCGTCGGTCGGCCCAGTGTCGTCAATTACATCATCGTAGGGGCTGCAACTACCACCACCACCACGGCTGGAAGCAGGCTCAGTGTTGCCGTTGGTCTGTCCACCACCCGTGTTGTGCGTGCCGGCTGGTGTGGCTTGACCGGCCGACAGGAACGGCCGGTACATTAGAATGTACATGGTGTGGTACTGCTGGTGCAGGTTGAAAAAGGCCGACGGCGGGTCGCGCGCCAGGTTCGCAGGCGTCCACTGCAATCGGCTGGAGAGTTGCTTGTGCCAATTGCGCAGCTCATGGTGCAGGCCCGTCACAAAATAGTATGCGCTCGGATCTGAGGTCGTGTAGTGCCAGTGGGCGGCGTCGGTCAGCTTGGAGGCTGTGTCCGTCAGGTGAATGAGTGCATCGTAGATTTCCGTCTCGAAACGGAACTTGGGTCCCATGGGAAGACAGCCACGCATGGGCCACGGCTGAGTGGGGCCGTTGGAGATGGTGATGTCGGCAATTTTGATGCTGGTCGGCCGGCCCAGGAACAACCCCCAGAACCGGTCCAGGACGACGCATCCCCACAGCACCGTCCGCTTCACTTCCATGTCCAGCCGCGACTGGCCGGCCTGGCCGATTTGCCGGTTCAGGCCCAGGTCGAAAATCAGCCGACACGCCATCCCCGCATACAGCCACCCTGTGTTGTAGCGGCCGACGCCGCACTCGAGGTCGCCGAGAAGCAGCAGCGCCTGCAGCGAAGGTATGCCGCCCGGCATCTGCAGTTCCGAGTCGACGAGTCGCTTGGCCTCCTCATGAAGCAATGACTCGCCGTCTGGGGTCGCAAAAGCTTGCACGTCGGGTCGCGTTCGGTCGGCATAGCGGTAGCCAACGGACAGCATGCACATATGCAAAAACGGCGAATAATAACTGCCACTGCTAGTGTTGCTGCTCCCCGCGCCTGGAACCATCTCTGGCTCTCGATGGCTGTCGGTGCTGTGGCCGTCGACGCCGCTGCCGCTGCCGCCACCAACCATCATTCCGCTATCTAGCTCAAACGCCCGACGGTGGACAATGTGGATGATTGTGTTGTAGCACGACCAAAACTGGTTGATCAGGTGGCGGTGCGCGTCAATGGGGATGTTGGCCAAAAACTCGCGCGTGCGCGCCATGTTCTTCTCGCGCTCGCGCCGAGTTTCTTCCTTCTCGGCGTGGTACATGTTGGAGTAGATGTGGTAGTTGGTCGTGATGCCAATGTAGCGCGAGTGGCCGCGGGGCCCCATGTTGCTCATGGACCCGGCACGCAACCGCCGTCGCTGATCGGATTCGCTGTACAAGGCCGACGGTGCCATGTCCGATGACCCGACCGTGCTCGCAGGCGATTCGGTCGCGCCATTGTTGTTTGTTCGAGAGCCACTAAAGCTGCCGTTTGCTGTGCTGTCAGTGGCATGTCCGATCTTGCTCCGGTCTTGTGTCGTCGTTGCCTGTATTGGTGGTGGCGGCCACATAGGCCCGCTGCCGCCGTTTGTCGATGATGTCAACGTGGGTCCGGGCCGGAAATGATATGATTGCGGATCTTGTGGAGGGGACGAGCTGCCCATGTCCCGGCTGCCGTCGCGACGAAATCCGGCCGCCTGTGCCACGCCCCGGCCGTTGCCTGTTGCTGCCGCAACCAGTGCTGCCGCCGTGACGACGCTGCCTTGGACGGCTGCCGCCACATCGTCACGCATTGATGTGCGCCGCTCAAGAGGGTCGTCGCCGTAGGATTGCTGGTCGCGCGGGATCTGCATGGCCGCGGCCATCGAGCCATCGTCCGTCAGGGCCGGTGGGATCTCCAGGCCCGCATCACTCAGGCGCTGTTCGAGCGCGCCGATGCGTCGTATCAGCGCATGCACCTGCGCCTTGGTGACGGGCCGTTTGCGCTCATCGTCGTCGCGCAGCACACACGGTTTTGAGAGGCGAATGCAGCGGTCGCACGAGCTCTGGCCCTCGTCAATAATGCACTGCTGTTGTCAACTGGGCGGACCTTGGAGACAAACAGACATTGGGGATTTGGGGAAATGCTGCACACCTTTGTGCGTCGTGCTCGGCAACCGGCGCACGCAATAGATGCGCGGGACCGTGGCTTGGATGACCGGCCCAGAATCATGGCTAAGACTTGACGCGGTGGGTGTCGTTGTGACGATGACGCAAAGCCAGTGTAGAAGCCCCTTAAAATTACTCAAAATATCGCGATATCGAAAGCATGTAATTTTCGCAAGTAGCTTTCTTTGCCGATCTGACAGGGGTTTTGCAGGGCCAGTCGTCGTCCTTGTCGTGCTCTTCCGCTTCGCTCCAGTTTCCCTCTTTTCCTCCTACGGCTCGGTTCAGGATTCCGCCATGGCCGTGGCGCACCTCGTGAATGTCAAGAAGTCAAGAGATGGATGGTGATGTAACAAAACTAACGAAATGAGAGAGAAAGAAGAGGTGGATAAGAACGAAAGTAACAAAATGCTTTGGGGCCCAAGCTGGTCGTTTCGACTTTTCGCGTACGTCGATACGTGAGGCCCATCTTTGACAAAACGGTGCTCTGCAATAGGCCGGTGAGACCACAGATCGGCCCTGCAAACTGGTTAACCGTACAAAGTATGTAGGTCGTCTAAGGTAGTGTTGTCCTGTGGTGAAAGGTTGGTGAGGCTGGGAGACGATGTCGGTTCAGGAGAGTTTAAGGCGAAGGTTGTGCCAAAACGGACCGGTTTTGGTGGTATTTGGAGGCGACCCCAGCTCTTGCCCCGTTAGCGTGCGGGGATTGCAACTAAGCGTCACTAGAAGGAAAAGGGAGTCGTTCTTTCCAGGAAGACGATTTCCGGACCAGGTAATTGTTGACGGAGAGGAAGGCAGTCACTTGATAGGGAAGGAGTGACGGTGAAACGGAATTGGTGGGGAAGGCGTGATGGACAAGATGGAGAAGGAGGTACAGAACAGAAGGTACCCGGCAAGAACCACGGACACGGATGATACGGGCGGAAGGCACGGTCGAGACACGGACTGTGGACGGTTTGTTTATTCTGCTGCTTTTCATAGATTCAGCGGGTCGTACTCTATACCCTCAAGAAACCGCGACAACTCGTTGGCCACCTACTGCCATTGCCATCGCCACCACCTACACCCTCTTCTCATCGCTGTCGACCCAGCGCGCACCGACATCGCCAAAGCCGCGCAGTATCGAGAACGCGGCGACGTCAACCTTTCGCGCACCATCCAGAACAGCCGTGGACGCAGCGACCAGTCGTGCCGGAAACCTTCCTACAGCACCAGAAGCCGGCACGGCCTCGGTGCTGGCAAATTCGTGCATTGCCAGATAGTACGGCGTGATCGTAGCTGCGCTGTCCGAGTCGTCTTTGCTCTCCTTTTTGAACACCAGCTCGAACCGGCTCGTGCGGCGCCAGCCGGGCAGCGTCGCCACCTCCTTGATGTGCTCCGTGCGGAACCACGCATTGAACGCGTCCGCGCTCAGATTGGTCGCCGGCTCAATGGCCTCAGATATCAGCGTTGCGGTGCGTCCGTCGGCGGCATCGGGGCTGCTCCACGTCTCCACGTGCTTGTAGAAGCGGGCGTCAAAGTCGGCATAGCGATGGATGGGCCCATTGCCCGGCAGCGTTGGGTGCGTCATGGGGATGGACTTGAACTCGGTGCTCTGGATGAAGCCCATGTCGGGGCACTTGTACACGGCTAGGAACGGAGCTGCGCGCCCGGCATCGGTGCACTGGTAGCGCCAAGACGCGACAATGCCGCCCGGGCGAGCAGCAATGATATCCGGGATATGAACATCCTCGTACCAGCGAGTGAACTTGTCGACGGGCAGCGTGGCCGGGTCGGTGACTTTTGAATTGATCCAGAGAATGCCAGGACCCGAGAGCTCGGGGCCCTCGTAGTCCGTCCGGTTGGGGTTGGCCATAGCGATTGGGACCGCAAGGACGACAAGAGCGTGCGCGTATGAATCACAGAGACAAAGGTGGCCGGCGATAGAAGCTCGGCCAAATTGCAGCTCAGACACTGGCCGAAAGAGAGAGCCGAAAAGGAGTGAGGACGAGGATTGGTCCCAAGAATGATATATATCGCGACGAACCATTGGCTACTTCGGACACAGCAGCAGAGACACGGCCTCTCCTAGATCCGCGAAACAGAAAATGCGGAGCAGAAACAGGACAAGCGTTGGTTCTGTCTCTTCATGATAGTTTGTGGTTTCTCGTCCACTCTCTCTGGCACTTTCTGCGGGCCCTCAATCTTTCTGGCGTCAGATATGCTTCATCAGTGCTCATTCTCTGAGGCACGTCGGTCTGGCCGGCGATGGCGAAACAATACCGGGGGCCACAGACTGGGCACGTTGTTCTGAATCAGCTGAGGACACCGAGCTCCGCGTTCCGCATTTGCGTTTTTGCAACTCAAAGACGTTGGATCACACGAACGCGTTGGAGAAAGATACAGCAGATACGAACCGTGCAGTGGCGGAAAATGCTTTTACGCTCCCGCATCAGCGTGATGGTCGGCAAATTGGGGTGGTGACCCTTTCTACGACTCCAACATGAACCAACAACGGTCGATCGGCACAGACAAGCATGGAGCTAGTGTCTAATATGCAGTGGTAGAGCCTAGTGTCAGTACGCCATGCATCATGGAAATCCACTCTTTGAGGTTCAAAGAATCAAAACGTCCCAATCCTGGAGCCTTTTCGGCTTTGACTTCACTTGTCGTGTCGGTGGAAGTAACGTCTTGAACTGAGTAAAGAGTCAAGGCGAGAACACATATACACATATGAGTCAGACATAAACACGTCAGCCTCAGGAGGAAGTGATGTGCGCGCAGTTGCACACCCTTCTCCCGGTCCTCGTGAATCATCACGGCTCTTGTCTCCACCTCCCCGCTACCCCAGGATCGCATCTCGCTTCGTCCGGGGTAATTGCACGGCACTCGTTCTGGGGCACAGATCTCGCACATTGTCGTCCGTGCCAGCAGACCAACCCCGAATGGCCAAGAGTCGTCGGTTCATACAAGTCCGCTGCCCGTCAGCGTGAAAGTAAGGAGAATCGCATAACTGTGCAGCTCCCTCCAGCCAACAAGTCACTCGACGGAGCATAAGCTCTAACGGCGGCACACTTGATTTGTTTATAAACCGGCAATCGTCAACTGAGTGGTCAGATCAACAGGCCCAGACTCCCAGGAGGTTTTAGACCATCAATCCCCGTGATCTTTTATTTGCTTCAGGTCAACTCCAGCTCTCCACCACTCCGTTGTTTGTTCACTGTCCGCAGCATGGCCAAAATCACGGCGCTCAACCTTGCGTCCGTGTTCTTCGCCGCATCTGGCGGGTTCACCTACGGCTTTGGATTTGGAGTGTTTACTTCCAGCATTGGCCAGCCCGGCTTCTTTGGCTATTTCAACCTCGTCAAGGGCAGCACCTACACAGCCAACATCATCGATGCCATCAACTCGCTCTTCGCCCTCGGTGCGGCCGTTGGAGCCCTGACACAGGGCTATACTAGCGACTGGCTCGGTCGTCGCCGCGCCATCTTTGCTGCTGCCATCGTCTGCATCATCGGCGGCGCACTGACCGCCGGATCCGCCGCCATCCCCATGCTCATCATCGTCCGCTTCTTCCAGGGCATCGGCCTCGGCCAGAGCGTCACGCTGGCGCCGCTTTACATCAGCGAAATTGCTCCCGCACATCGCCGCGGCTTACTGATCGGGGTGTTCTCCGCCGCCCTCGGCACTGGCTACACGGTTGTTGCCTGGATCAGCTTCGGGACGTACTATGCTACCAACGAGACCGTGCAGTGGCGTGTGCCACTGGCGCTGGCCTGTGTGGCACTGATTGCCCAGGCCATCGGCGTGTGGTTCATCCCAGAGTCCCCGCGCTGGCTCGTCCTCAAGGACCGCAAAGAAGACGCTTGGCACATTGTCCGCCGGCTGCACCATGATCCCGGCGATGCGGAGCAACGCAATGCGCAGGCCGAGTTTACACAAATCTGCCGCCAGGTGGCCTTTGACAAGAAGTTTGACGTGTCGTACTGGCAGCTGTTTCGTCGGCCCTCGTGGCGCAAGCGGTCGCTCCTGGTCCTGTTTCTCATGTTTGCCAGCCAGAGCACCGGCGTCCTCGGTATCGGCAACTACGCCATCCTTATCTACGAGAGTCTGGGCTTCACCGGCGGGCTGCCGATTATGATGAACGCTGTTTACACACTGATCGGCACAAGTGCAACCTTCCTTGGCTCCTACCTAGCCGACCGTATCGGACGGCGAACGCTCCTAGGTGAGTTTTCTCCTTGTGTTGTTTTGTTACTCGTCCCGTCATCTTACAATACTGGCATATCTAGTCATCGGCTTCCCAATCAACAGCTTGTTTCTCCTCGGCGAAGCCCTGCTTCAGCGCCAATATGTCGACGGCACCGGCGCCGCCTCGCACGCCGGCCTGTCCGCCTGTGTCCTTTTCCTGTTTCTCTACATTGTGAGTTACGACATTTGCATCGATCCCGCCTCTTTTATTTACGTCGCAGAAGTCTGGCCAACCGCGATTCGCTCCAAGGGCATCGCCCTCGGCTGGTTCGCCTATTTCATCGGTACCCTGACCTACACCACGCCCGCCGCCCTCGCCTTCCGGAACATCAGCTGGCGCTACTACATGGTCTTTTTTTGGCTGCAACATCGTCTCGTCCATTGTGGTGTATTTTTTCCTGCCCGAAACCAAGGGCAAAACGCTGGAGGAGATGGGCGACCTGTTTGGCGACGAGGTCGTCGTGCACATGGCCAACGACGGTCGCGGCTTTGTCGAGACGGGCGGGGCCCTCATGGAAAGCAAAGTTGCCGGCGGTGAGGTGGTTATGCAGGAGATGGCTGAGACGGACCGCGAGGGTGCCGTCTGAGGGCCCGCAGAAAGCAATGCATTTCCCTGGTACGGCCAGCTCGTCAAGTGGCGTTGGCCGACTATGCATGGACATGGCAGCGAGCATAGGCAGCAACAGGTATGCAAAACAGTAGCAGCTTCGTGCAAGTGGCAGCATGGCCGACGGTTGAATTAACAGTGATTGTATTATGGCCACCTGCACGTCGCCGGGTTCCTTCCTCAGTACGAAGTGCCAAATAGAAGTAGTAGCAACTAGGGAGGACAGACGTTGGATCCGATCGTGCCTTCCTCGCATCGCGTGCCTCAAATGACGTGTCTTGTTTGGGACAGAGGTCACCATCGGACCTTCCACATTTGTTTATGTCTCGACCAATATCCCACTTACCCCTTTTCTTACCTTTTGCTTTTCCAACTTCTCACTTCCATACGCTTTTTGTCCGCCTTCGCAATCTTTTCCAAAAAAAAATCAGAAGACGACCAGTGGCTTTTGAAGCATCATACCACGTCTATCACGACTGCCATGCCTTCTTGGCCAGGCCGCCAATCAAACTTCGACCTCTTCCTCTGGTAAGATGCGCACTTCGAATTCCGCTCCACCTGCACAACAGCAACATTGACATCATTTGCAGATACAAAATCCGTTCGTCTCTGCCTCTGGATGCATCGGTGGCACATTACAATGTTGGTGTCGCAGACCACGGACGGGCACAGCAACCTTGGATAGGACACTACTGATAGACATCGGCCAAAACAGGCGTCTGGCCGACTTCCTCACTCGCACGACTGATTCATTCATGGCGCAATCTCCACAAGCTCACCGTGGCCACCCTATCAACGCTCTGCCCACATTCTCTGAGCGAGCTGCGACTGGTGGCCGCCATTCTGCACCAAAGTGCAGACTAACGCAATGATGCGCGTAAAACCTTTTCCGCCTTACATCAACCTGCAGACACATCAGCCCTCATCCAAGCTGTCTTGTGACACACAGCCGGGTGGCCGATGGCGAAGAACAGAGGCTGATGTGGTTTGTGATCTCGGAACTCTCCTTGAACTTGTTGAGTGTTTCGATACCTCTCCAGCGTGAGACTATGAGGACTGAGGGCTGTGATAGAGAGCCTCTGGGCAGCACTAACAAAAACAGTAAAAAAAAAGAAAGAAAGAAAAGAACCTTTGCCTCTTCACGTCAACTAGCCCCTACGGAGAGAGCAAAGGTACGGTTGGAGTAAAGAAGGCATGGGGGAACAAAATATGGAATGGGGGCCCAAGCTCTGCGCCAACAGCACGGCATGGATCATGCTACCGTGCGCCAATCAAGTAGCCTGCACTAACAGGCCGCATGTTTGGTGTGGGTGCCTCATAGTCGGGAAACGTTTGCCTACAGAGTGCGTTCCTGGCATGGCCAGGCCGTGCTTCTCCAAACCACCACCCGACACGCTTTCGTCCCGCTCCTATTCACATCCCGACCTCCTGGTCTCCCTTGACAGCGGAGTCGCCTCTAATAGCAGCGATCTCAACCCAACGCCCTCCACTCTCGGAGTCCGCCCCCGGTCAACTGCCCTCGCGACGGTGTAAGACTGGTTCATTATGGACAACCCAGGGACACCTAGACGCCAAGAGCATACTCGTGCAAAAAAAAGTGTCCTGAGACCAAAAGCACATGGGTCCCGGCCCGATCGGTGGGGTTGACACAGGTCGACTCGGAGAATGCGCGGACTTGGAGATCCTAGTGTGAGCGACGAGTAAGTGCTTTTGCGCAGTGGTGCTCGTGCGAACATTCCATACCCATTGTTGGACGTCGACCACTCACAGAGGATTTCATTTATAATTATGCCACTCGAAAACAGTTGCTTCAAGATACTCTCCATTCATAAATTGTTATTCTTGTCCCCTCTTCATTCACTTTATTCCTTCCTTTTATTTATTTTGTTTCCTTCGTGTCTCGCTTTCGTCTTGCACGAAGTTGCTCTTCTCCGACTTACATACTTACCTTACCCCTACCTCCTTCGAAGACACACAACAAGACCGCCATAATGCCTTCCAGCACAGCCAAGAGACCCATCCGCATCGCCGGTGCTTCTGGCGGTTTCACTGATCGTCAGCGTGCTATTCACGACCTCGCCAAAAACTGCAATGTCGACGTCATTGTCGGTGGTATGTCTCTACAACCCGTACAGAGAAATGAACAACATGGAAGACCATTGTGGCTAACCGAGTATCAACAGACTGGATGTCCGAGTGCACCATGACCATTCATGGTGCCCTCAAGGTCGCTCGCGAGGGCAAGGAGGACCAGGGCCCCGGCCTGTTCGACCCGTGCTTCATGGGCAGTCTTACTCCTGGCCTGCCAGTCCTGCAGGCCAACGGCGTCAAGCTGGCTGTCAACGCTGGTGCCTCCGACGCTGAGCTGCTGGCCCGTGAGGTCAAGTCCAAGATCACCGAGCTGGGCTTGAGCCTCAAGGTCGCCTGGATTGAGGGCGATGAGGTCACCCCCCAGGTCAAGGACCTGATCGCCAAGGGCGAGAAATTCACCAATCTCGACACCGGCAAGGATCTCTCTGAGTGGGGCTACGAGCCCATCTACGCCCAGTGCTACCTTGGTGGCCTGGGTATTGCCGAGGCTTTCCGCGCCGGTGCCGACATTGTCGTCTGCGGACGGGTTGCCGACGCAGCCCCGACCATTGGTGCTGCTGCCTGGTGGCACGGCTGGGACCGCAGCGACCTGGACGCACTTGCGGGTTCGCTGATGGCTGGCCACCTGATCGAGTGCTCTGCTTATGTTACCGGTGGCTACTACTCCGCGTTCAAGGACCTTTTCGATGGCTGCGAGAACCTCGGCTTCCCCATTGCGGCCGTCGAGGCCAACGGAGAGACCGTGCTGACCAAGGAGGCCAATACGGGCGGTGAGGTGTCCGTCGGCACGGTTACGTCGCAACTGGTCTACGAGATCCAGGGCCCTCTCTACTACAACTCGGACGTGACGGCCAACATCGAGGGCATTAAGTTCACACAGACCGGCAAGGACGAGGTCCGCATGACGGGTGTCAAGGGCCTGCCACCACCCCCCACTACCAAGGTCGGCCTGACCGCCCAGGGCGGTTTCCAGGCTGAGTTCCACTACCTGTTCGTGGGTCTCGACATCGAAAAGAAGGCCGAGTGGACTGAGCGCCAGATCCGCTATGCTATGGGCAAGAACATTGACAAGCTCACCTGCCTAAAGTTCCAGCTGATCGGCTCGGTCCCCGAGAACCCAGACAACCAGAACTCGGCCACTGCCGACTTCCGTGTTTTCGTCCAGACCCGCGACCCCTCTGTCCTTGGTCTCGGCAACATGACCGGCCCTAACTTTACCCGCTGGTGCATGGAGAACTTCCTTCAGAGTGCCCCTGGTGCCACCATTGTGCCTGACCAGCGCCAGGCCGCCCCCAAGAACATCTACGAGTACTGGGTCGCTCTTCTGCCCCAGGACGTCGTCAAGCACCGCGCCGTTCTCGAGTGGAACAACCAGGCCATCGACATTCCCGCCCCCAAGATCACCCAGGTCTACGGCCACCGCCAGAACTCGTACGAGACGGAAGCCCCCGTCGATCTAGCAACGTTCGGCCCCACGACCCGAGGACCCATCGGTTGGGTCGTCCTGGGTCGCTCCGGCGACAAGGCCAGCAACGCCAACATTGGCCTCTTTGTGCGCCACGACGACGAGTGGGACTGGGTGCGCAGCCTCCTCACCAAGGACAAGTTCATTGAGCTGCTGGCCAAGGAGTATCTCGGCCACGGCCTCGACCGCTTTGAGATGCCCAACTTGAAGACAGTCCACTTCTTGCTCAAGGACCACCTGGACCGTGGTTTCAACTCCACCTCGTCGCTCGACGGACTCGGCAAGAACCTCTGCGAGTTCATCCGCTGCCGTCACGTCGACATCCCCAACAAGTTCCTGGCCCGCGGTAAGGTCTAAACGGATCCCGCGTGAGAACGAAAGAAAATAAATTCATCAAAGAGTAAAGAAAAGACACCGAGCGGTTTTCGTCAGAGCCAATTGTATATTTTGGCCTTTATTGTATCTGTTCATATTGATAGCCGAATACTATGCATTCTTCCAAGCTTGAGGCGAAGGAAAGTGCAGTGACAAAATTGATATCACGTCCATGTACGATGTTCGTCCCTAAAAATCACTGTCGCTTTGTCATAGTTTGCACATATAGAGAGCACGGAGCACGGGATGGAACATTGTTATAAAGTCCCAAATTTCAATATTGTTCTCTGAAGAACGCGTCTTTCTACTTCCCAAAACACCAGATGCAGCAACAGAAGTGACACAAGCTGAACCAAAACGAAGAATAATTGCATGACAATATGAGCCAAGAAGCACAGGGGACATATAAAGCAATTGTTAAAATCAAAAATTAAATCAAAGCGAGCAGAAAAAGATGATAAAAACGCCTTCCTGAGCAGACAGAAGAATTGCCTTCCATCACAAGAAAACACCAGAGAACCAAAAGCCTCCCAATACTCTCCATGTTAATACATAAACAGGGATTCAAGAAAGAGAAGAAGCGGGGAGCGAGTAGCATACGCATAAGTAGAAAGCAAAAGCAACTCACAAAATGTGATGCCAAATTAAATCAAATCAAAAGTACTCCAATCCTTTTGCTTCACCCTTTTTCCGAGGTCCAAGTCAAAAAGTAGCAATCAAAGAATAAAACGAAAAGAATACACCAGATAAAATAAAAACGCCAACTGCCACAAACAGGACAGAGAGATGTAAGGACAAACAAGGAGTGGAACAGAAAAGAGTAATAAGAACAGGCGGGGATTAAATACGCTCCAACAATTAGCAATTAAGGCCGTCACGGTTTACCGTTCATGGCCGTTGCAACAGGCAAACCATGTCGAACAGGAGCGTGGTATGACCCAATGCTTTGGAATCCCCTGAAGAGAGAGTGGTTAGCATCATGTAGAAAAATTTGGCGAGGGGGGGAAATGTGGTCCTGCAAAGGGCAGAAGGGTGCAAAACATACTTGGAAAGGTCAAAGCCACCATCCTCTTCGACTTCGGGAAGGACCGGCTCTGGTGCTGACGGTGCTTCTGCAGGAGCAGGAACCTCTGTCGCGTCGCTTGCAGGCGTTTCCCCTTTGGCCTCTGATGTGCTTCGTGCAGGGCGCGTTGGGCTGGAAATGGGAGACTTAATCCCAGATCGCTTCACAGGGGGCGGGCTGCTGCTGGCCGGCATCATGGCGACAGAGCTGCTGACACCGCTGCTGAGTCCCAGCGCCTTGGACGGGCTGAAGTCAAACGAGGGCGGTGGCTTCAAAGGGGTGCTTCCAATGTCGGCGTACTTCCAAAAGGGGGCAGGAGAGCTTGTCGGCATGTGCTGGCTGGGTCGTTGCAAGGTGCTGGGGGGGTTCAACTTGAGTTCCACACGGTGCGGTGCCGGCGTTACAAAGGACGAGCTGATGTCGTCTTGGAGGAACGTCGACGTTAGTGTTGGCGACCGTGGGATGACTGGATCGGGAGCTGTGCCGCTGGCTGAGGCATCATTAGTAGCTGCCCCGCCGAGGATGGATGTGCTGTTTTTGGCTTTACTTGCAGCAGCGCCTCTACGGTAACGAGGCAAGGGGCTTCCGTCTGACGACGCAGGCGCCTCATCCGGGAGGAGACGGCGCGAACTGCGATCGGGTGTCATGTGCACGTCGCGGAGACTTGAGCGAGGCTGCGGGGAACCGGTGGGGGACACACGGCGCTTCCGGGCGGATCCATGGTCTTTGGCGGCCATGTCACGGGGACCTTGGTTGACGTAGTTCAGCTGGCTAGGTGACGACGGGTTCGAAGATCCACGATGGCCGCCACGACCGCCCCGGTAGGCGGTGCGAACCATTTCGTCCTTGTATTCGGGCAAGATGTACCACTTCATTCCCTTGCCGGGTTCCTCGGTCGAGCGCGCAACCTTCTCAAATGCCTTGTTCAAGGACAGGTTGTGGCGGATGGAGTTCTGCATAGGCGCCCGCGATTAGTACACACAGTGGCACAAGAGAATGCAGAAACGACATTCAAAAAGCAAGCAAAGCGCGACAGCATTCGCAACAGGGACGAGGAGGCACTGGGGAAGCATTGCGAAGTTTGTTAGAGCTGCGCCGGCTTCGGCTTACCTGCCAGCCAGCAGCTTGCTGGTGCTTGTAGTAGGAGTAGTTCTCCATGATAAAATTGTAGATACCGTTCAGGTTCAGCCGGCCCTCGCTGGTGTTCATGATCGCCTGAGTAATCATCTGGGCGTACGAGTACTGGGGCTTCAGGTTCTTGTTTTCGTCCAGGCTCAGGTCAACGTCGTTTGGGTGAACCACCATGGTGGGAATGTCCCGGAACTGTGGCGACTTGAGGTGCGACGTTGGGGCGGATGTGCGGCTCCGAGCTGACGGCGGCGTCCCAGGGCGCTTATAGTCGGGCGGTGCGGGTGCAATCGCCTGCGGCGTAGGCTGGCCACGAGGAAGCGTGCTACGTATTGTGGAGCCACCATGAGGAGAAGATTCAAGGCCGCCGCCGACGGGCGTCGTGGCGCGCAGCTTGTGTTGCAGGGACGTGTCATCCGACAAGCCGGGCTCGGACTTGGGCAGGCCAGCGCGTTGCAGATATACGTCGTGAATGTGCAGAGGGCTGGTCTCCAGCGGCAGGACGAACATCATCTCGATACCACCGACGTCGATCACGTCACCACTTTCGAGCGGCTTGGATTGACCCAAGCGCCAAGGCGCGCAGTTGACCTTTATTCCATTGCGGCCCTTGACATTGAGATACCACTTTTCGCTCTTGGTATTGAAGACGATTTGGGCATGCTGACGCGAAACCATCTTGCTGGGTCCTAGGTCGATGTGCACGAAATCGGGGTCGGCATCGGGGTCGTAGCGCTGCGGGTATTCTGGCGCCGGCTCGGGGGTGCGGCCGATGTTGATTGTGAGCTTTGTAACGTAAAATGTCCAGTCCTGTGCAGCAATCTTGGCGTACGCCTGCACGCCTTCCTTGTTTGCCTCGTGTATCGCGTTGGAGTGGTCCTTGCTTGCACGAAGGTCGTCGTTCGGAGCGAGGAGATGTTGGGTCACGCGGGCGACAATCTGGGTTTCGTCGACGGGCAGCACGGCGGAGTTGTCGGCAAGGAGACTGGACGTCTCTTCTTCGGGGACATCGTGAGGCGCTTCATCGGCCTGGGCACGAAACGACACAGGTCAGCAACACGAAGTAAAATAACGCGTCGAGTGCGGCATACGCCTGCGAATGAATGACAAGACGCGCGACGGTGGCGAGAGTCGACAAGAGGGGACGCGACATGCTTACCTGCTTTCTGCGCTTGGCAGGCCGTGTCGGCGACGATTCTTCAGGCTGGTCGGCAACGGAGTCCTTGCGCCACGAGTTGCGGCGAGCCCGCTGCGATGATCTGCGCGGTGTTGGCATCGTAGATGGAAAAGGCGCGGTGGCGTCAAAACGGCGGGTGTTCCAGGACCATGCACGGTTCGGCAGTGATGGAATCCAAGTGCGTCGCGGCGTGGAAGGGTAAAAACTTTCTTCAGTAGCCGGGATGCGACGCGACGCAAGCCGAGCTGATGGAAACAAATTAGAGGGAAGAGTAAGTTGGAGGTTCGCGGCGGCCAATTCGATGGAAAAGAAGTCTGGAGGGCGACGGCAGGGAGGGAGGGAGGTGTGGTAATAGGAATAAGAAAATAGGCGCGATTAGGGTGGCTGGTGTGAGCGAAAAAAAAAAAGTCCAGAGTCCAAAGTCAATATTGATTTTCGAGCTCCACGAAGCTGTCAGAAAAACGGCAGAATTCGAGCGCGTGCGTAATCTCGAACTGAAAGAACAATCCGGGCACAAAGAAACCGGCCAGAGGACGCAAAATAATAAAATAATAAAAGTGAAAGACGATGAAACTCTCCAAGTTGTCGCTCGCGGGGCTGCCAATCCGGAGAAATCGCTGGATAATTTAATCGGCTGGCTGGTCCTTGCGAAACGCAAAAAGACACGGCGACGACAGGGGGCGGACAGAAGAGGAGAAGGGCAAAAAACAACGTGAAAAAAATAAGAGGCTAGTCCAATGCGACGATTAATAAAAACGTAGGGAGGGTGACTGGGGCTGCGATGTGGGTAATTAGTGGGCGGGCGATCCTGGTGGTGGTCGACAATGTTCGTGATTATTGATGATGAAAGGGGAAAAGAGACGTCGGGGATGGGGAGACGATGAGAAGAGGACGCGAGGGCAGCAAAAGCCAAGGAAAGAAGGAAGAGGGGAGGGGGAAGGCGCCGCGAACATGGACACAAAAGTAGATGAATGGTCGAGAAAGGAAGCCGCGGTGAGTCGCAGCTGCTCTTTTGGCATTTGTTTAGTTTAATTGATGACAATGCGAACAGCTCCTGTTTTGGTGGTTGTGGTTGATCGCGGTTGCTCGTTCTGGCACTTTAATTTTCGCGTCACTGGCGCTGCTGGTTTTCTGTGGTCTTCTTTGTCCCTCGCCTCCTCCTTGCGGAAAGTGCATTACAGTGTTTGCCGTACTTTGTGGCCTTACGGGGGAAGTAGCGGCGACAAAAGGAACTCGCGACTGGGTCCATTGTAAGGACGGGAAGGTACGAATGTACGCAAACACGACACCTGGTACCTGGGCGCTGATTGGCTGCAGCGCGCCATATGAACCCCGCAGCCAAAAAGGGATAAAAATAAATAAAACACTGCCCGAAAAAAGTGTAAAAGTGTCTCTGGTCGTTTAAAAGTACAAGACACCCACTGAAAGCCTCATTGTCTCACCTTGAGCGCATCCGGCGCAATTGGCCAAGATTCCACAAAAGACATGCCGTGCATTACTCGCAGGGCGGCGGGATGCGCAAACTCCAGTTTCCAGTCCAGGAGGGAGAGAAGCGAAATTCCAGCAGTAAGGAGCTGCACGAACGTGTTTTAGGAAGCAGCGATTGGTCAGTGCAGGTCACTGTACAACGTAAAGACAAGTAAATACAACGGAAAGAGCGATCGTGATGACGGCTCGAGAGGGGCTATTGATTACATCGCACCAGCCGAATAACTACATAATGTGCATTTCCATCAATACTCAACAAGATACACGACGGGCAAGTGTGAGTCGATGGAAGCTTAGTGGTGCAATAGCACTCGTCATACCCACAGCCGCAAGTGGACAATGGTGAGTGTTTTGGATGGCCGCCACGGGGCGTGTTTACTCAGCTCCCGCATCCCGACTTGGGCCAACAGCCGCAAACAACTACCACCAATTGACGCACGCAAAGGATGAGACCAAACAGACTGCAACAAGACACCGTGTTTACCGGTCAAAACTCCACCTGCTCCGACAAATATTGCGTGGGAAATGTGGAGAGGCGACCAACATACTGCAGGAGGCCGACCCGAAAAGACTCCTGGCAAGATGGAGGAGGTGGCAATGGCATGGCCGGTGTTCGAGATACGTATGGCGTATTAGCCCGGTCTTTATGAGTAGGACGGAAACTGCCGACTGTCAAGCACGAGAACAAAGAACAGCAACAGCTTCATGAAGAGGGGTGCGCATATGACGCTGATGGCAAGACGTAGCATCCAGTATTGGAAGGTCGAAGCAACATTGTATGAGTTGTATTTCGTAAGAGTCCAGGATTCCCATCTTGAGTAAATGTAAATCATAATCAACGGACAGACGCAACGAAAATAGAGGTATCCAATCATGAGGCAAACGGCAGCAACTAGAATAGAAAGACAACAGATGCAAAACAAACGTCAAAGAGACCGCACTGCCGCTGCCCTTAATGCTTCGGGGGAGGGTCGCGGGGGGTTGGCGTCTGGTACAATGCGCGCTGGCCGTCGGGGATCGGCGACGGTGACGGCGACGGCCGCTTCTTGGCCGTCTTGGAAGGCAGCGGCGGCATGCCAAACAGCTCGAGCACGGGGTTGAAGTCGATAATGTCCTCGGACGCGACCGGAACGTGCACCCAGCGGATGCCGCCGGCGACGTCGACAGCAAACGCGCCGCCCATCTGCCACTTGTTGCCGTTGGGGGACGAGCCGGAGCCGGAGCCGGACACCGCAGTTGACCCCAACGGGACAGGCACCTTCTTATGACCGCCCCAGGCCCTGCTCCAAATGCCCTCGTCGCGGCCCAGAGCGTACGTGGCATACAGCGCGCGCGGGTTGAACATTTGCCACGACGTGTTGAGGCCCAGGCCCCAGCGGGCGTACAGGCTGCGCTCCGGATCAGCAACGACTTCGACCTCCCAGGCACCGCCAATGTCGGCCACCCAGAGGTCCGTGATCTCGCGGGACGCCTGCGAGACGGCTATGCACGTCAGTTCCGGGCGGTCCTGGGAGAGCGCGGCCAGCGAGCGGAACGTTTTCTCGGCGACTGAACAGTTAGCAACGAGTCGAGACCAGGCCGGCAGTACTCTGCAACACAGTCCGTAGACCCACAGGGATCGCCACACTGGCGAAGGAACACGATGAGGACGGGCTTCGATCGCGGCATGTTGAACTCGGGAGACGGCGGAGCCGGGCCGTCCACAACGGGCACAGGGGCAACGACAGGCCCTGTGGCCTTGCCAGCGGCAGTGGTTTGTTGCTGGGCCATTGTGGAGACGATGTGTTCAGATTATTCGGAGTAGTACTTCTGTCCGTGCGATGCTGTATAAGAAACCAAATAACAATTGCGGCATGTCGTGAAGAGCAAAGGGATGGAAATCACGAGCTCTTGGCTAGGCGTGGCAAAATTGCCGCTTTGGGGGCAAGCTCTCCCGCGGAAAACGGCAGGTGCGACCATGGCCAAAAATGGTGTCGCCGATAAGATAAAGCTCCCCGCTTCAATCGCCGGTGTGGCAGCCGTCCTCAACGTCACTTTTGCAAAAATAATGTCAACAGCGCGGCATAAACGAGCATCTGTGTATGGATATTTGGCAATACTATCTCCCGCTTTCTTGATCTTTCGCCGTTTTAAAACGATATTTTCTTTTAATATTCTTGTCGCGAACACCGAGTTTCCGTTGGGTCTAAATTTTCCTATCTTTAAATCGTTATTTTGTCAGACGTTGTTTGAGAGCCACAAAAGCCCGGACTGAGAGGAAAAACACGCCCTGGCCTGCATCCTTCTGGCCAGTCACGGCCGACGAACACAATGCACGAGATCATCACATTACAGCTCGGCCGACAGAGCAACTACGTGGCGGCACATTTCTGGAACGCTCAGGTAGGCAGGCGTGACTTGATCTTCGTTTTTTTCTTGTTCATGTCCATCCGTCTGACACGTCTAGGAATCCTACTTTACCTATGGCCAGGATGACCCGTCGCCCGTCGACCACGACATCCACTGGCGGGCGGGAATCGGCGCAGACGGCTCCGAGACCTACCTGCCCCGGACGGTCGTCTACGACCGCAAAGGCGGCTTCGGCTCGCTGCGAAAAGTGAACGCACTCTACGAGGCGCAAGAGGAAGCACACAATCAGCAGGCGTCTGCCATGGACTTGCCGTCGAGCCTGTGGCACGGCCGCACCGTCGTCCAGCGCGAGACGCCCATCCTGCCGAGCGCCTATACCCAGAGCCTGGACACGGGTCTGCCGCCCACGGAGCCGTTGACACCCGCCACCGTTCGCTACTGGTCGGACTACAGCCGCGTATACTACCACCCACGGTCGCTGATTGAGGTCGGGGACGAGCCAGACGTGTCAGCGCCGCAGACGGCAACCAATGGAACAAATGGAACAAACGGGGCACAACTAGGGACAGCAGCCTCCACAGGCGCGGCACAGCCTCGCGAGTATACGTGGGGCGATGGCGAGTCTTTGTTCGCCGAGCTGGACCGTGAGCACGACCTGCTGGACCGCGACTTGCGGCCATTTGTCGAGGAGGCCGACCAGATGCAGGGCTTCCAGGTGATGGCGAGCGTCGACGACAGCTGGGGTGGTTTTGCGGCGCGGTATCTGGAGCGGATGCGTGACGAGTACGGCAAAGTCGATATTTGGCTGTGGGCATTGCAGCAGCCGGCCGGCCGGTTGCCGAGGGTGCGTCCACTCTCCTCCCCCTCTCCCCCTCTCCCCCTTTTTTGTCTCAATCTGCATCTGGTTCCTAGGTTCTCTTCTAACGTGGCTAGGAAAAACGAATCACGCGGCTGGCCAACAAGGCTCGCACCCTCGTCGAGGCCTATAGCCAGGCCTCGCTCGTCATCCCGCTCGCCGTGCCTCCGACGCCTCTCACGTCTGTGCTGCCCAGCACCTTTGACTCGACGTCCACGTGGCACACGGCTGCCTTGCTGGCTACGGCCATTGAAACTGCTACACTGCCGGCGCGTCTTCGCAGACTGGGCAGCGGTGCCGCCGGCCAGAGCGGCGACTCCTTGGCGTACCTGACAGACCTTCTCAATGCCACCGGCAAACAGACTGTCGCCAACCTGCAGATGAGCGTTGTGCAGCCGTGGCAGTCCGTCCAAAAGGACGCACGAGAGCGGCGCGAAGCGGCCGGATACGACGAGGACGACGACGGCGGCGGCGACAGCACCAAGATGGACGGCAACCTGCAGCTGCCGATTGACTTTGCCCCGCGGGACGAGTCGGTGGTGGTTGCTGGACGTGCAGGGCGTGGCGTTCGGGCCAAGAAGCCGCGCATGTTTGGTCAAGCGGTCGTGACGCGAGCCACCCCGGGAGAGGACGGGGATGGCGACAACAAAGGGGGAGGGGGAGGAGAGGACGACGACGAAAGCCAGACGGAGCGCCGGGCCACCTTGGATCGGCGCGACATGATGCACCGCCGCTTCGCCCTCAAGCCCGTCAGCCAGCGGTACACCGTGCCCCTCGGCTTCCCGCTGCTCGACAGCTTTCCCTACATCTACCAGCAGACGTCTGACAGCACCGCGTCCATCCCCGTGACGACCGCGCTGGCCACCGACCGCGCCGTAGCCGACCGGATCCAGACGTTGCGCACAACTGTCACGGTGGGTGCACCGTGGGCCGTTGGGCTCGAGGACCGTGAGGCCCTGGGCAACGACCTGGCCGGCATGGCCGATGCTTACCATGACGGCTGGTCGAGCGGGAGTGATGCCGGCGATGACGAGGATTGAGGGAGTCCACCGGGGCCTGTACGTTATTCTTCTTCTTTATGTTTCTGAGCTGAATGAGGAGATATTCATATTTCGCAAAGTAATTGCTTACGGGAGCTACTGTCCGGATCGATACGGCATACAACAAAATAATCACTTTTCGTGCCGTCGATGACGCTGAAAAGAAGAACGGAAGGCAAACAGGAAGGCCGCTTTACGATTAGTGGGCCGCTTCAACGCAAGCAAGATAACACACAGTGGAAGGAATATGCAAAGAAGAACAGAGACAATGGAGGAGGACAGCGTTGCAGGAGACGACGGTGTGGTGACCTTGCGAAGATACTCCGTCTACAGCAAAAAGATACTCCGCGCCGTCGGCAAGAGCCACCAAATTGCAGGATGTAGTGCTGTGGAGCCGGGACGGCCGTAACATGACCGTGGTAGCAGGGAAGGAGCGAAGGCTATATAAACTTTGTAAATAATAAAGGATTACTCCTTTGTACTCTGTACTATTTCATAATATGGGCTGTTTTTTGGGGGTGGTCTTTAAACGGATGCATCGCATCTACGTATCTTCGCTGGGAATCGCCCGCAGTTCCTCTATTCTCGGCTTTCGTGGCCTGCCAATTAGGTCAAACCAGGCATTTTTACCTGGGGAAACCAGGCAAAATACTTCCAGGCGAAAGGCTAGGGGGCTTCCCCCAAAGATATGTGCGGCTCCTCTCATGAGACCCACTTTCTGAAAAATTGGGGAGTAGCGTAACTGGCCCGTGCTTGCCATGCGAAAGGACACAATTGCCGTTACCTTCCGTGGTCGTACGTTTTTCTCGCTCCGGAAAGCCCTATGGAGGGAGTGCCTGCCTATCTTGACGTGTAGGGGACCATTGTTGCCCCCGGAGGTATCTAGGCATCTGAAGAGCCCCTAGCTAGCTCCTTCCCACCCAAGGCGCCGTAGCCAATCCCAGCGGCCGGATTTCTGTTGTTTCCCTTTATGCCAGTAGATGCTGGCTATTCGTTCGGGTCGTATTCTTATTCCACCGTCGCAGGCACTTTCCCAACGCACTCGCAGCCCCGTTCGACCTGGCCACGCGCCGATCCACCCAACATTCGGCGCTCTTTTACCCTTGTGCGCCCCTGAACCGTTGGTCCCTTCTGTAAAATTTTAAAGCAGGCGCCCCTTTTGCGCTGGACGGGCCAGCTCCCTGAATCTCTGCGCTATCGATTTGGCGTTCCCTTTTTCATTTAATTTTTTTTCTTTTTCCCCTTCGCTGTTCTTTATCCTGGTCTTGCTCCATTTCAAACTTTTCCACTCCTCTCACAGCCTTCCCACCTGTAGCCTCTTCGTTTCGCTTTTTTTGTCGACCTGTCGGCCTTCTCGTCTTGACAATTTACCCCTGCTCGCTGCTTCGAACGACTTGCGACCTCGCGTCTGACTGCTCTGCTCTCCAACAAAACCCTCCAAACTCTCTTATCACATCCACAATGGCCGTCGCAAAGGAGTACACCTACCAGGACGTTGCTGAGCACAACACCAGCAAGGACCTGTTCCTCGTCATCCACGACAAGGTCTACGACGCCACCAAGTTTGTCGACGAGCACCCGTATGTTCACGCTGTTTCGATTCGTCCCTCTTTTGTTATTTTCCCTTATTTTCCTTGCTTTCCTTGTGGATGCTTGCTAACGTAGAGCCCTGTTTTTCCAGCGGCGGCGAGGAGGTTCTTCTGGACGTCGGCGGCCAGGACGCCACCGAGGCGTTTGAGGATGTTGGCCACAGCGACGAGGCGCGCGAGACCCTGCAGCAGCTGCTCGTCGGCAGCCTGAAGCGCCAAGCCGGCGACCCGAACCCGTCGAGCACCACGACCGGCGCCGTTGCGCCCAAGGCCCAGACCGACACTGCCGGCCTCGGCATTGGCCTGTACGCGTTCCTGGCCGTCGGTGGTGCCGCTGCCTACTTTGCCTACCAATACCTGCAGCAGCAGCAACAAACGCCTGCTTAAACTTTCGAGAGGGCGAAGCGGTGAGCGGACGGAACGAGTAGCGGAGGAGCCAGGAGTGTGATACAGTGTGGTGTTTCGAGCTCATTTTTATTGTTCCATGATTCCAAACAGAAAAAAGGAGACATGGATACAGAGAGACGCGAAGAGAAAACGAAAAACGACAAGAAACAATTCATAAATTTTTAGACATTTTGTCGCTTTTTACTCTCACCACGATCTCTGTTCCTCCTTTACATATCGTGTTCTCTTTATTACCTTACAGTCAATTTTAATATATATTTTCTTTATTTGATTTTTCTTCACTTCCTCAGGAACACTTGCCTTGGTGGTTTGCCATTGTCCACTTTGGCCTTGTACTTTTGTCGGATGCGCTCTATTACTTGCCCACCCCCAGAAAAGATTGCCTTGGGTGATTGCCGACGAGGACCAACTCGACTGGTCTGCACACTACTTTCATACAAGCGGATACTGGCGTCGGGAGCACTGGCGGGAGGGAAACAGGCAAACCTTTCGGAGCTATCTCTGGGGTTTTTTTCTGCCATTTGTCCTTGTCGCAACTTCGGAGTTTTCTACCCAATGGGGGTTACGCCAATTTGGCACTGCACTAGAAAAGAGAGAGGAAGTAGGCAAATAGGCAAGTTGCCGTCTTCCGATAAAACTGGTATCATATTATCGAATCCGATTCCGACTAAATTCAAGACAAAAGTTCCGGGACCAAGATTATTTGCGTCTCCTCTTTCTCGGTCCGGACCGTGGGGGAATCGGACAGCGTTGTTAAAATATATGATCATAAAAGGGCCATAAGGAACGGCAATGCTCCCGTTGCGACCACGCACGGCGACCTGCTGCTTCGGTTACCAAAGACAGACGGCAAGTTACTCGTGCTATTTGACGACTCAACCAGGTCACTGCGATGACAGAAGATGGTGTCTGATCTACGCCGTGTCTAAACGTACCGTACCCATATTCAGCAAGACGACAACAGTTGCTGCCTGGCCGCTTCTTAATTACCAAAACAAGCATATGGAAAATACAATGCATGTGGGAAAGTTGCGAAACTCGGGGGCGTAGCACGACGTCCATTGCACGAAGCTGACAAAAATGTATGAAAATGTCTCTACGGCGTAATGGTGTGGTGGTGCAACGGCAGAAACAGCCTCGGCCACGTACGGGAGCTTGTGCAACCTGGGATCGGCTTTGAAGCAATTCGACTGGAAACACTTTATCTCCCTATCTCAAATCGCAGTTGCAAGAGGACCCTGAACTCAATCATGCCAGTATCTTTATCAGCCCGATATATCGGTATACCTTGTAAGAAACAATAAAATGCATTGATCTCGTCTGTCGGCCTGATGCATCCGGAAAACAAGACGCATACGGGAAAAGGGCGAGAGCTTGTGAGGAGAAGCAAAGAGGAGAAGTTGTCAACTGCGGTTAGGTCCATGAAAAGCATGTGCTGTAACCGAGCTGTTGGAAAACGGCAGAATTTCTTTCACCGCTTTCACGCCTTTCGAACTGCTTAGTCATTATGGTAGCTAGCCTCCACTAAGCCTCGTGCAACACAACGTCCCCGTCGCTGTGCAGAGCCTCGTTTCGTGGACTGCAACCTCTCCACCGTCTCCATCGTCCCTCTCGCCCTCGACGTCATCTCACATCCCCCCAGCAGAAGATCCATCTGCACTGGAGTCTTACATCTTGTACTCTATCTACGACTCCAACGACGAGCCTTCGACGCCCTGCGACCTTCTCTGGAGCTACAACGGACCTTGCTCTCACGAGCGAACAGCTCTGCCTCTGTGTCTCGACCGCTCTCACCGCCGTCTCCTTTTCCGACCTCAGTCACCGTCCTCCTCCCACGTCGTTCAAAATGGCCTACCCAACCACCGCCCCAAAGACGGCCATCAAGCGCTCACAGACCTCCGCCCCCAGCCCGCTGCCTTCATTAGGCGGCGGCGGCGCACCCGCGTCGCCGTCGCCGTCCATCGCATCCACGACGTCGGCCACCGCGGCGTCGACACCAAAGAAATCCAAGGGCGTGGTTGGCGGGCCTGCTGGCAACCTGCCCGCCGGTGCAGCCATCTACTCGCAGCCCGAGAACACGGGTGTCGGCTCGGCCATTGGCACCAACATCGTCTACGCCCTCGACTACCTCAAGCAGCAGGGCGGCAAGCCCGTGAGCCTGGCCGCCGTGCTGGGGCACCTCAACCTCAACCGCGAGTCCGAGGCCGTCCAGAAGCAGATTGTCGAGCGCATGCGGCACCACCCGCGCATCGCCTGGCGGGCCACCGAGACGGCCGTCATGTCCTCGTCGACGGCCAACCTCGACGAGGACTGGACGACGGGCACCTACGAGCACAAGCCCATCATCCCCAACGTCAAGGACCGCACGTCGCTCTTGCAGTACCTGCAGCGGCGCACGGACGCGCAGGGCGTCAACGTCAAGGACCTCAAGGACGGCTGGCCCGACTGCGAGGCCGCCCTGGCCGCGCTGGAGAAGGAGCACCGCGTGCTGGTGGTGCGCACGAAAAAGGACAACCACCCGCGCATGGTGTGGCTGGACGACCCGAGCCTCTGCTTTTCGGTGGAGCCCGAGTTCCAGTCGCTGTGGCACCGGTCGACGATCCCGTCCGTGGACGACATTGTCGGCAAACTGACGGCGGCGGGCCAGAAGCCGACGAGCGAGGACCCGCGGCTGCGGGCGGCCATGCAGCCCAAGGAGAAGAAGGCCAAGAAGCGGGCGCAGCGCCGGACCGGCAAGTCGACCAACACGCACATGGAGCACCTGCTCAAGGACTACAGCCTCAGCAAGCGGTAAACTGGAGGTAGACTGGCGGTTTGGGAGCTTGCGGGAGATCAGATGGTTTTGGAAAGCGGTCGAGAAGCGCTTCCTTCTTTGCGTTATTTTGTTTCACCCAACATGCATTATAGCGGTTCTCTTTTTCGGCCTTGTGAATTTTGTCTGTGGTTTTATATCGGTTGATTGCTTTAAACATGGGCTATCTGGGGGGTCCTTGAGAAAATGTGTAAATCAAAAGCGGCCATTATACATGGCAAGGCGTTTCCAGAAATTCGTCTCACAATTTCACTTTTATTATATTTGGTCACAATGAAATTACCAACAGAGTAGAGGATCATGAGCATCGGGGACTTGATTGTACGAGAATGCAAAATATGGTATAAATAATAAGAGGAGCAAAATTGCAAAAGGTCTATAATGGTGGCGGCTAGACAGCTCACAAAGCCAAATGGGAATGACATAACCAACCAAAAAAGCATGAGACAAAGGAAATGGTAAATGCACACGGTCTATAGCAAAACAGGAGAATCAAGTATAAAACGAAAGAAAAGGAAACCAAAGGACGAGTACAACAGCTGCTAAAAATCTAACGGGGATAACCAAGGGGGTATGATGTAAAGGGAAAAACAGGATAAGACAGCTCGCAAAAACAAAAAGTTGGGGTATTTTTTTTTCTGCCAGGCTGCCTTCTTTTGGGCCGCCAAGAGTTTTGATGCTTTTGCGAATTCCTATTTTTGATTTTCGTATGGTGGTTGCCCGGTTCATCGTCTCTGAGCGTCAAGTATATAGGGTAGAGTAAACGCTTCTCTCATTCTTTTTTGGGTTGGTGTCTGTTGTGATCCGGTCGTGAGATTGTTGGTTGCAGTTGGGTGTGAAGTATTATCGGTGTGGTGCAAGGTATAAAAGGATATTATATGGCGGAAGGGAGATTCGGTCATGAAAAAAAGAGCAAAGCGCGCAGAGGGGTAGACAGTATGATTAAGACAAGGGTAGGGGGCCAAGCCAGGAACGACGAGAGGTCATGGCGCCAGGATTTGAAAAAAAGAAAAGTCAGAAACAAAAAGCAAAGGCAGCAAAATGCCCGTTCGAGTGTGGTTGTTTTGTTTCCCAGAGATCCAGCTCGGCCATCCAAAGACAAAAAAAGCAAGTGTAAGGTAAGGAGCAGGTGAGAGGAGGATAACGCTCTGAAAAGCGAAAAAAGTCATACGCTGTTGCTCTCAGCATCCTCCTCCATACCTGTAAGATGATTAAAAGATAGTGGTATGTTTGTGCAATAGCATGGGGTGGAAGCAAAAACAACAAGAAGAAAAGAAGAAGGGCAGAGGACTAAACGTTCCCCTACTGGGCAATTGCCCACAGCTCGCTCTGGCGCGGCTGCTTGCTCACGTCAAAGGCGCCCGAAGGTGACTCGCTGCCGCCTGGGCGGCGCACCTGGTGCTGGTTGTGAAGGCCGGGCGCCGAGGTCACTGTGCCTGTGCCGTTGCCCGTATTAGGGGCGCTCGTGGCGTAGAACAGGTGGCCGTAGGTCGGATCCGGATCCGGGTATACATAGTTGCTGTGGCTGTGGGCGGGGGACGCCGCCAGGTGATGCGAAGCGGGCGAGTTGCTGCCGTTGTTGTGGCCACCGTGGTGGTGCGACGAGGGCGACTGCCAGCCAGATAGGCTGCCCATGTGCGGGCTGCCACCGCCAACGCTGCCGGGACCACCGCCACCGCCGGACGGCTCAATGCTCGGCTCGAGCGTGGAGGGCGGGCCGTAGCCTGTAGGGTGTGAGGTCGGGCGAATGTTGGCAAAGACCCCGTTGACGTTGCTGTTACCGCCGTTACCAGTGGTGCCAACGCCGCCGCTGGTGCTCCCAAGCCCCAATGACGACGTGGTCGAGACGGGGCTTGCCATGCCGCTGCCCTGCAGGTCGTTGCGCAGGTGGACGGGCAGCGAGCTGTTGTTGGGCAGAGAGAAATGGCCGTGCTGCTGGATCTGCTGGTTGATGGCTGTCAGCTCGGAAGCAGGGGAAAGCGACATAGTGCGCTGCCCCGGCGACGGCGTGGACATGGGCGAGCCTGCATGGTCGGAGCCAGCATTGCTGAAACCGTCGGAGCGTGGCGGGCGGCTGGCAACACGGACCATCGGGTTGGTGCCGCGGGCCAGGACAGCAGCGGTGGCACGGGCAGCGTCCTCAATGGTGCCGGTGTGGTGATTTTGGTGGCGCGTCAGGGTGGTGCGGCGCGTAAAGGTCTTTTGGCAATCGGCGTAGGGGCACTTGTACGGGCGCTTGCCGGAATGGATACGGCGATGGCGGGCCAAGGAGCTGGAATCGCTAAAGGCCTTGCCGCAGTGCTCGCACTGGTGCGGCTTCTCGCCGGTGTGAACACGGCGGTGGACGGTCAGGGCGGAACGCTGGATGAACTGCTTGCCACAGCCGGGGAACTCGCAGATATGGGGGCGGACGCCAGTGTGAATCCGTTCTATACATGCCGGTCGGTCAGTAATGTGCATATAGCATATATGGCAAGAAAAGAAGGAGGAGCAACGGCAACAGGGTGCAGCATACCATGACGAGCCAGGTCACTGCGCCGGGCAAAGCCTTTGCCGCAGGTCGAGCACGGATACGCCTTGGGCGGCTGGCCGCTGGCCATGGGGATCTTTGTGTACTGGATGCCGTGCGGCGGCAGGACGAGGGTGGGGCCCATATTGGGTGCGAGTGGGGGAGGCAGACTGGGCAGGATGAGGCCGTTGCTGCTGTTGGGCGTGGTGCTCAGGTCGGGGATGTGGAGCGGCGAGTTGTGCATGGCGGTGGGCGAGCCAAAGGGTTTGCCGACGGACGTGTCGAGGCCGTTGAGCGAGCCAGGGGCGGCAGACGAGAAACGTGAGTGGTCGGAGCCGTGCGGCGAGTCGGCGCGGTCGAGGGCGTGGTGGGACGGATACGGCTGCAGGGCCAGGGGCTGCATGCCGGGGAGAGAGACGGGTGGAAGGAACTGGTGTTGTTGCTGCTGTTGCTGCTGTTGCTGATGTTGCTGGTGGAACTGATGCTGCTGCTGCTGCTGCTGCTGCTGCTGCTGCTGCTGCTGCTGCTGCTGCTGCTGCTGCTGCTGCTGCTGCTGCTCAAGCTTGACGCCTGGCAGAGACAAGGTGTTTTGCTGGACGACACCACCCTTTTCGTTCAACAGGTCGTCGATCCCCATCACTTCACCAGGTGCCGGCGATTTCATATTGTGCAGGCAGGCTGAATGTGGATCGAGGGTGAGAGACCGAACAAAAGCAGCGGGAGGGCTGTGCCGAAGACGTGTAAGAGTCGGAGATGCAGTCGAGAGAGAGGTACGGGTGGAGCAGACAAGTCGCCACGAGGTTGAGAGACTGTATAGGGCGAGGGCGAAGGGAGCGAAGATATGTAGTTGGGTCTCTGTGTGTCTGTTAGCTATCACGACTCCCGTCATCTCGCGATGAAGCCGGCAAGGACAGCTTCAAGCACGGACACTCTCGGCCGCGATGGTGGCAGCAAGAAAGTAAGGGAGACGTAGCGAGCAGCTTACCAGTGAGAGAAGGGGATTATCTAGTCATGCACGGTCGTTCGAGGAAAAGAGTCGAAATTTAAAGGAAAAAAGAAACAACGAAATAAGCGAAAGGCGAAACGCAAAACGAGGTTGATAGAAACGAAGAAACTTGCTTAGGGGAATCGAGAGACAGAAAGCAAAAGAGCAACAGAGAAAGAAGAGACGGAAAAGGACAAGGCGAAGTACATGTATACGGGGATGTGGGAGAGAGGGCGTGCAGTGGGGGGGGGGGGGGGGGTTGAGAGAAGGGGAGAAGAAGCACAAACCAAAAAAGATGTTCAGGTGTGGACCGTGTCGTGGGAAAGGGCCCTGTCGTTTTTTCTTTGGGGCTGGTCTTTCCCTCTATTTTAGGTTTGGGCCTGACTTGCTTGGCAGTTGTGTTTTAATGACTTTCTTTGCCGTTTTATTCTTTTATTTAATAAATTATTTGTCCCATTTAGTGGTCAATTCTTAGGTCTTTTGGGGCGGCGCGGCGCGGTTGCAGTATGGGGGTGCCCTGTAACCGCTGCCAACGACACCCCATCGTTAGGGGACGGCGCCAGCGCCAGGAGGGTGTGCGACAGGGCGGTGATAGAAGGTGTGGAGTGAAGAGCGAACGGATGGTGCAGGCTGATTAGGCTGGCAGAGTCAGGCAGAAAAGACGCTAAAACAGGACGACGCACAGTAGCGCAACAAGGACGACAGTGAACAAATAAGGGGTAAAGTCGCTTGCCAATATTTTGGAGGGGATGAGAGAAATGGGCGAATTAGCCTCAGATTGGGAAACTACGAGGCACACACACGCACATAAACACAATTGAGTAATTTGTACACGCCCCTCAAATCACGAGACGACAGGGGGAAGGAGCGACGCATGAGATTTGCAGCCCCCGAAATATAAAATTGGGAGATTGGGAGACGGACGAGGAAGGTATGCCATGACGGCTGCTCTCTAGCGTACCTTCCATTACAGAACATGTGCATAGCTACGGAGTATTACTTGTGTTGCCTCTTCCTGTTCAAAGTGAAAAAGGAGACGCAAAACACGCATCTCTACAGCTCGGTCAGCACTCGAAACACGACAACAAAGCCGGGCTCACTACACTTGCCATTGGTTTGGCGGCAGGCATGGCATGACAAAACGAGGGGGGCAAACGACGAATGAGAACGAAGACGGTGGGTGTTTGGCGGCGCGACCAGCACTGGGACGACAAGGGAAACACACGAAAGCAGCGGGAGGAAGATCGAGGAAGGATTCTTGAGCTAAGCACCAAACGGGCAGAACACGGGCAGGAAACGGGCAGGAAACAGGCGTGGCTGAGAAAGGAGAAACACACCGCGATGAGGAGGGCAAAGTAAGTGTGAAATGCGTGGGTGCATGCCTGATGCGGTGAGGATGGGGAGATTGAGGGCGATACCACGAAATGCAGCAATGCGAGGGGCGATACACAACAAAGGAGGAGCCCTTGCAACAGACGTCCAACCCCT